AAAAAAAAAAAAAAAAAACCCGGCCGTATTTTTCTAATTTTTATTCCAAAGGGAGTGGAAAAAATTGCTATAATAAAAAACAGCTGGAAAGAGAACGGCCAAATTTTTGTCATCTTTGAAGAAGAAGAAATTTAACAGTTTTAAAATGCGATGGGCTTAAAAACTCATTTTAAAAAACCAATCACCAATATAATTGACATGGATTAGTACATGCTTTCCCATTAGCAGGAATTTAAAATGCGTTCCATGAGTTAAAAAAAATGAAAATTAGATTCCCAAAAGGTCATCTTTTTCTACATCTACTAATAGAGTTAAAAAAAAAAGTAATAAAATAGCATATTAGCCATCCCCACCGAGGAGAAAATGACTTCATAAAATACACATTTTTTTATGATAATGAAAGATATTTTCATTTTTCAAAGTTCCTTTCTAATAAACGTGTTCGAGCTTTAAGAAATATTAGACCTTTTTGGGTATTTTCAAGAATTTAAAAAATTTCCTAAATATTAGCATTCTAATAATTTATTTCATGACAATTAACATAAGTGATAATGTTTTAAATCAAATAAGAATCTTGTGTACACAGACTAAAAATAATATAAAAAAAGCTCCTAAAATCTCATTTTTGTTTGTAATTCCAATGAAACAGAATAAAATTCTGCAAAGTATATTAAAACTAATAAAGATATTTAAATATAAAAAATTCGAATTATTAAAATCGTTGAATAAATTTCCTTTAAACGCTAAAAATTTATATTGAAATAAAACTTTTTGTGTAAAAGGAAAAGGTGAAATATGTGCATAAAATCCCCTGGAAATTTCACGCACAGATTTCTTTATGCCCAGAAATTGATTAAGTATTCAATATATATAATTGCAAACCTCAATCACTGAGCGTGCTTTTATTGCCCAAATAAAATTGTATAAAATAATGAACAGTTGCTATTTTCTTGTTGTCGGTGTTGTAGTTAGTTGCAGACGCAATAATAATACTTCTTTGACGTTGTAGAAGGCTTTGTACCCCAGTGCATTTCGAATTTTCAATATTTGCGACTCAGTATTCAATCATACTTTTCATCAAGCTCCCCTGCCATACAATAACAATGCATTGAATTCAATAATACACTATACTTTGATGCTAAGCCTACAGTACGATTTTAACCTTTTCAGTGCTACTGGCGTTTATAGATATCTCGCTTAGCCAGCGCGTTAATTGCCCCGTACGACTTTCCAAAGTACGATTTTTTTGCGCACTGCTATCCATAAAATTATTCCGAAGGCTTTTAAATGCAATAAAATGACCTTGATAGTGTTTGCGAAGGATTTACTTATTTATTTTTTTTACCCCCACACCCCCCTGCAATACATCACATACGTTAGCATACGTGTTAAACTGTGGCATTCGGAAGCGAATCGAGTAATTTTTAAGGGATCAATTATAAAACGAACAAATTATCGAAATAACTGTTAATTTTTGCTTAGAATTTTATATAGGACAAGCCCATGGGGTGAGTGGTAATTATTAACTTCGCTCTTAACTTAGTATTGTTAAATTAATAATAAAATACATATTGTGCAGTACTGATTTATTTATAAGTGCATTATATCAATTTAAATGTGTATTTTTTTTATTTTTTTTTGTTATGCCAGAATATATTTTGTTTGTTCACTTTCAGTAAATTAATAATTTTTTTAAAAAAATCGGTCTTCGACTTCTCAGTATGCTTGCGCCTCTCTCTTATGATTATCACGTCCCCCTAGGAAGACACACACTACAGTTAGAGAAACACTGCTGTCCCCATTTGGACATTTTTCAATATAGCCTGGTCATACCAAGAAATAGTACACCACATGTGCCTTACAAAAACGGATCTAAAAAGCAATTGACAGATATGTTGTTGTTGTTGTGTCCAGTCCTTCAGGATCTAGCGGCAGCTGGATCAGATCCATGAGACCATTAACCCTAGCAAAGTACAGCACGAGAATTGGACTCGCATGGACGTCTTTCAAAGCTAACCCCAAACAATCGAGAATATGTTCAGGGGAAGCCGGCAATAGGTGACACTTGGAACAAGTCTAGAAAACCTTACGGCCAGATTCGAAGGTCATGCCTTTCAAATGCCCACTGAACAATCTGGACACAGCCATTTGATCATTTCTTTTTCCGTCAAATTCCAAAGCACCCCCAGGGCTTTTCCTACAAATCCCGGGATGGTCGTGAGGGGCTATTCAGAGTTGCTTGTCCTTGATTTCCATTAAAGAGTAAATCTCTCGATATGTGGTTGCATAATAATTGGTCTCAATCTCAGAGCAGCCTCTTTTGGCCAAGAAATCTGCGACTTCATTTCCAGGAACGTTAACATGGGAAGGGATCCACTGAAAGTGGACGTCTCTATGGTTTTGAGTTTATTGATTATTCGAATGCTCACGAGAGTCATCCACACGAGTCCAGTCCTGCTGGTGTTGAATGGCGCTACGGCTATCTGTGAGGATCCAAATTTTGCTAGAGTCAGTTCTGTTGAGGATGGACTTTAATCCTTCGTCTATAGCAATTAATTCACTTCTGAGGACTGAGCAGTTTTCTGGGTTGCGTTTAGAAAGCCGGGTAGAAAGCTACTCAATGAAGGCACCGCTCCCTGTGCGATTTGACTCGTCTTTACTACCTTCGGTGTATATCAATATGGCATCACTTGGAATACCATTTACGACCTCGAGAGCAAGCTGTCGTGGGTATTCGGGCACGTCTGAGTTTTTATTTGTAAAGGACAGAAGTTCGGTGTGGAAGTGAAATCCAGGCAAGCCCTCAACCGGGTTGATACAGGGTCTCAGAGATGTATACTCTATTGATTGGAAATGATCTTCATTTTATGACAGATATGGGTGCTGCAAGGAACTCTTCAGAGAAATGAAGGCTCTAGAGTGCCAGGGCACATGAAGGCGAAGCAAGATCGGATGATTATCCATTTGGACTAAATCTCCCCAGCGTAACCATTGACCACAAGTGTCTCATCTTCCGCTGTCAAATTCCCATTGCTTGAAAGGTGAACAATCATTGGTTCGTGAAGGATCCCGCACTTTTAGGAATTTTATCCCACTATAACAGTGTTTCTCAAGTGGGATGCATTCCCCCTTAGGAGGAGGGCCTTGATAAACCTACGTGGGGGCGCGAGCATATCAAAAGGTAAAAAATAAAAGATGCTTTTAAATAAAAATTAAACGAGTCTTACAGTAGTCGCATATGATGTGTAACATCTGACATGTTATCGTGGTAAATACGCAATATTAAATATGAAAAAAAATCGGGTATGATTGGAAATAGTTTTCTATCGAATAATTATACCTTTAATGAAAATTGTATTTAATTAACAAAAGGAGTAATGCAATATTTTATCAAAAATAATTATTCTTGTTCAATTTGGGGAAGAGCGGAGACAATAGACTTATGATAACTAAAATATGACACAAATAATTGTGATTTCAAAGTATTTAAAAACCGTTGAAAAACAACGTCATCAACAGTACCACTATTAGCAGTCTAAACATTCTAATTTGTGTTCATTTCGAGCTTGAGTTCATCATTCATAAAAGCTATGAGCGGCTCAGCGTTTGGCAAACTGAAGTTAAAGTTAAAATCACCACTCAAAATCAGGGGAAGTGAGTGATAATTTTTTTAAGAGCAAAACCACCTTCGTTATATGGTAGAAGTACAAAATGCAGGAAATCTTTAATTTTTTTTTAACCGTTTGATTCGAAGAAATATATGTGATCACCGAAATCTCTGTTTGTCCATTTTCAAACAAGCATTCTGCCGCACTTATCGTGAATCGCGACTAACGGATTTAGAGTCAAGCGCTCGAGTGCTTGATGGCTATTAGAGTTGGACCCCCATGCGAAGGTAGCGAAAAGACACAGCCACGCACTCTCATTGGTCAAATCAAGTAGCGAGCGCTTACGTCACATCCTGTTACACACATCCGTCCCTTTTCACGAAATCACTCCC